GTTTTACAGTATATTAAACACATGTAGACAACACTCTGTAGACAGCGGTAGAATGAATTATCTTTAGCTAATTGCGTGCGTAGTTATCATAAATATGTGCCTTATTGTGTTTACTCATTTATTATCATGAACTGTAATTTGGGTTTGCCATTATACATGTTTTGATTAAAAAATATTAAAAAAAGTTTATAGAAAACTAAACTTCCATGCCTCTCACAAATTGTCAACATATTTTGAAATGTTACACAATGATAATCCTAAAAGAAGGCATTTCTCATAATCATTATTTATCTTTCTTTTATTTTACTTAACAGAAATTCGAGATGCTAAGCAGAACCTCAAGAAAATGGCTGAGCAGGTGAAATATGAAGATAATGTGGCGACTAATCTCTTGACCTGGAACAGTGAACTACTACCCCACTGGGAAAATGTGTAAGTATTGGTGAATCTGTTTTGGTGTGAGTGGTTTTCTGTCTCACTTGTCGTAATGTCTGCGTCAATTATGGTAAATGGAGCGAACACAGACGATGATTTATTTATTTATAGAAAACGTATGCCATTCAGAAACACATACATAAATTTAGTCTGTCTTGAAAAATCATAATTAGCATAATGAATTAATAGATTGATACAAAATATATATATCATATTTGCTCTAGTGGTGCATTTATAATAAAAGTGCATATCAATCAAAAATCACATTGTATTGAATCATTAAAGTGTTATTTATTTGGACCATAGATACACCTTTGTAATTTATGTGAGAGTATGCACTACTAATAGAGCTAATATGATATATAAATAAATAAGCAACTATTCAGAATCTTTTTGATATTTATCAATAACATTTGCATGTTTAATTCTTACAGAATAATCTATACTTTCTTGGTTACTTTACGTTGTTTATGCTCACTGGAAAGGAATTTCAAGAAACATGAGAACCTTTCTATAGCATGAACTGGGTGAAAACATTTTAAAGGCAGGTCAATCTCTTGACCTGCATGTCTGGGGGTTGAACTTAAGGGAGAAGCCTACTCATAAATGAAAACACTTGAAATTTATTCATTTTGCAATAAATTGTACTACAGGGCATAATAAGAATATTGACGTTAAAAAGTTGGTGGTCACCAGTAATTTTTGAGAAAATGCTGGTTGTGTTTTAGTAGATAGTGTCCATTTTTCCTTTGGCGGAGATATTATGCCATATCTGACATTGTAGGCTGGTGAAATAGGCTGAAAAAATCATATACCGGTATTAATGTTGGGGTATATTTTGTTGTCCTGAATTTTGATTTTTTTTAACATTGCGCTTTATCAAATTCTTCTAAGAATATCGATTTAAAAAAAAAAATATTGCAACAAGTCTCTCTATGATTATACATAATAAACCAATGAACATTGTCATGTGATTTCTGATTAACTTTAGATGCAACAAATTTTTCTGCTACTTTAATCCACACCAAATTGCATTTAAATAAACAATACATTTGACATGCTTTGTATTCACCACATGGGATTCCTATCCAACATGATGCAGTACAATAACTGCAGCTTTCACAAAACGCTGATAGGATCATCCAGGGGAGGAGCACAAGCATATGGACCTCAGGCTAATTTCATTAACATCAAGAACATCAGACTTTAAAATTGTCAACACTAGTTGATTGAAGTCAGTATCCAGACACCTGATATGCTTGTATAAATGACATACCTTCTAAGCACTTAATGAAGTTGTGACATTCTAATTATGATCTCGTTTGACTCCTCATCAGATTTCTAATTAAGTTTTCAAACACTTTGTTGCGTACAAAGGAACTTATCAGGGCTGTCCCATGTATTTTAGAGTCTTATTGTGAGTTTAATGTAATGAATATTGCTGAAAGCTGCAAGTGGTTTCCGGGTTCCTTGAGGGGATTCAGGTTGTCTAGCGAATTACCTGAAGGATTGGGTTTTGTAATCAAAATCACAGATGCTACTAATGTTGTCTATTTTAGTTGACGTCGATATAACTTGAGATTTATTTAGTTCACATCAGCGTAAACTTTATTTTTTACGCATTTAGTTCTAAATACAGAAAATATTGTCCTGTTTTGAATTGTAATTGTAATTTTATAATATCAACTGATAGTCCTGATTATATGATTGGTTGACTGGTGTTTGCTCAGTGGAAACTTTTAATAGTTAGGTGACTCTAATATTGCCAATGTTTCCTAAAACTCCCAGACTTGTCTGTAGAACTTCAAATGCTGATTATAAATACACCATCCTTCACAAGAACATTATAATCCATGTTATCCCTTCCCCTCTAAAGAACAGCGAGGACGTATCAAATTAAAAGTACCAATTATGCATTGGATATACCAGATGGCAGTGATAGGTTGGAGCACTTAAAACATGCTGTCTGTTGCAAATGTGCTCCTATTTAGCACATGAGTATTGTATATTATAGATGTCGCCCTATTCTGGATTGTACTGTTTTCTGTACCGGTATGTTCAGTTTTATAATTGTTTTTTTGCAACCTAAGGTCACAGGTTGTGAATCTGGTACATCGTTTTTTGGACCTCATTCTTGTATATCATAATGTGTTGACAAGATGTTATGTCTATTTATTCTCATCTCTTCCCGTCTTTCACTTTTTCTTTCTGTATGTTCAGTATTATAAATGTTTTTTCGCAACCTAAGGTCACAGGTTATAAATCTGGTACATCATTTTTTGGACGTCATTCTTGTATATCTTACCGGTAATGTGTTGACAGGACGTTATGTCTGTTTATTCTCATCTCTTGCCTCCGTTCACTTTTCCCATGTCACATCCACATTAAGTAAATAACCTCCTTGACCCATCTTAGCCGTTTTGATGCACTGCTGTCATATGCACTGCTTTTCTGTATTAAATGAATCCATTGCGGTATAAACATGCAGGCAATTCCTCGGTGAGTTGAGTACCATATTTGTTCTTTTAAAAGTGCATCTTCAGTAGAATCGCATGTAAAACCATTAAGATACCATAGAATTTGTTGTATCATGAGTTTTGTACAGGATCTACATTTGTACTATAATAAAAGAAATAAAATTCGCTTGTTGGAAGTTTCCGCGGATAGCCAAAATGGCGTCCACAAGCGATGTTTTAAACACACCATTACAGCTGTTAAAGTATCTGTACGTGTACACATGATTTTAACATGATGCTTTTCCTTAGAATTGGAAATTCATTAAATATTTAATTTTTCATACCCTGGATCAAAATATTCTTAACCTAAAAGCAGAGACACAATGTGACTACATTTGTTAAATCGTTTACAGCAAATTCTGAGCTACTTTCCGTAAGTTTAGCAGTCATGCACCCATTCATTTGCTGACAAGGATGCATGAAATTATTTCAGGGATCGACCATTTGAAATTATTGAGGTGGCTGGAAGATTTGTTGAAAATGAATATTCATTTTGGTGGTCATGGTAACACCACCAATCAAAGTCGTGTTTGCTTTGTCTGCATAAACAGACTGTTTTCAACAAGATGATAATGGGCGAAAATTTGCCAGCACCTCATCACATATCATTTCAACAAACAAATAAACTCTGCTGTGAATGGTTACCCTTTGATGGCTGTCACTATCTGATGTTCCTGCAATTTGATTCGTACCAACAACTAAAACGTCAGGGTAAGTGAAAACTACATCGTTCTGTCAGGCAGGTGTTGGGTTTGGAGTACTGCAGAGGACGCAACTCACACAACCTTGTCAGGCTAAGACAAGACACTACGAACAAAAAAAATTCTAGCCACTGCCACAGAGCTAAGCTCATCAGACTGTGTACATGTGCTTCAATAAGGATATATAAAACTGCTTTAATTTTGCAAAAGAATATGTTAATGCACATTGCCAATCATAACAATTTTGTAGCAGTGACTATTAGCTGGTGTTCTTTAAACAGGCTTCCTGCAAATATAATTAAAATCACAAAGAGCTCAGTATTATCAGTTGAAACAAGGTCTTCTTGAAAATATGATCATCATAAATCAAACAAAAACTCATTTTTAAATTCGTTGTCAATCTGTTCTATAAAATAATTTGTTGATTAATTCCTTGAATATCGTCAAACCAATATGCTGGATTGTAACCGATGACCTGTAGATAAGCTGGATTTATAATAACGCTACGCAGACAAATCGAATGTAATATCAGGCGCATACATGATACCTGTGTTTTGACAGCTCCATCTTTTGATATTGTAAGTCTGCGATATAGTGGTCTATAAATTTGCTTATCGCACGTCAAAGAGCGGTTGATGAAAATACCGATATCTCATTGTTATTTAAAGTTATGAATGATGAAAAGCCGTCTGGATGCCTATAGGGGATAGGAATGACCCTTGCTGACCTTTGTAAGAAAATTGATTTTGTCGTCTTTCATTTGATGATGAATAACAGTGACATGGACTAGCTGTTACTGATAATGATCAAAACTAGAAACATTCCATTAATGCATGGTTCCATGATTCCTTCCATTAATTGCATCATGAACAAATAATTATTTTCGAAGGTGACTGATTTCTCGAAAATTAATTCTACCAAGTGGTTGAATTTTG